AATCAAAAGAAAGAGAGCCCTTATGAACTCATTTTACAAAACCAGCATTACCTTGCTTCCAAAACCACACAACAATAAAAGAAAACTGTAGGCCAAGATTCCTGATTAACATCAGTGCAAAAATTCTCAACAAAATACTAGCAAATAGAGTCAACGGCTCATCAAAAAATCATTTGCCCTGACCAAGTGGGATTTTTCCTGGGTTGCAGGAATGATTCAATATATGCAAATCAATAAACATAATACATCATGTTAACATATTGAAGGATAAAATTGTATGATCACTCAACAAATGCAGAAAAAGCATTTGATAAAATGCAGAATCCATTCATGATAAAAAAACTTGAACAAGTTAGATATGTAAGAAATATACCTCATCACAATAAAGGCTGCAAATGACAAAATCACAGCCAACATTATATTAAATGGATAAAAGCTGAAATCATTTCCACTGAAATTTAGAACCAGACAAGGAGGTGCACTCTCATTGCTCTTACTCAATATAGTTCGGGAAGTGTTATCCAGAGCTATTAGGCAAGAGGAAAAAAACTAGCATACAAATTGGAGGAGATTAAATTATTCCTGATTGCAGATGAGATGATTCTATATAGAGTGGAACCATTAAGAAACTATTAGAAATAATAGGTAAATTCTGTAAAGTTACAGCATGCCAAATCAACACACGAAAATCGGTAGTATTTTTATACATCAACAGTAAGCTCACTAAGAAGAATTTACAAGACCAATCCCATTTCATGATAACTACAAAAAATTTCAGTACCTTGGAGTAAACTTAACCAAGGATGTGAAAGACCTCGACAATGTAAATTACAAAGCACCAATGAAACAGATTGAAGAAAACATACACAAACACGCACACACAAACACACAAAATGGAAAGACCTTCTATATTCATGGATTGGAAGAATTACTATTATTAAATGTCCATACTATCCAAGCAATTTACAGGTTCAATGAAATCTCCATCAAAATACCAATGGGAAAAAAATATCATTCTTTACAGAATTAGGGGAAAAAAAACTAAAATTCATATGGAAACACAAAAGACTCCCAAATAGCCAAATCAGTCTTGAACAGGAATAAAGTTGGAAGCATCACAATACCAGATTTCAAGACATACTACAGGGCTACTGTAATCAAAACAGCATCATTTTGCTATCTAAAAATATCTCTAATTTCAATTTTTATTTCTTCATTGGTTATTTAGGAGTGTGTTGTTTAATTTCCATATTATTTGTAAGATCCTCAAATTTATTTCTGTCATTATTTCTACATTTGATCTTAGCCAAAAGGCTGAGAAGCGATGTAATCCTTCCTTCCTTCCTTCCTTCCTTCCTTCCTTCCTTCCTTCCTTCCTTCCTTCCTTCCTTCCTTTCTTTCTTTCTTTCTTTCTTTCTTTTTGACAGGCAGAGTGGACAGTGAGAGAGAGACAGACAGAAACGTCTTCCTTTTGCCGTTGGTTCACCCTCCAATGGCCGCCACGGCTGGCGCCATGCGGCCAGCGCACCGGGTGGCCCAAACCCGGAAGCCAGGTGCTTCTCCTGGTCTCCCATGGGGTGAGGGGCAAAGCACTGGGGCAATCCTCCATTGCAGAGAGCTGGCCTGGAAGACCGGGAACAGAAATCCGGCCCCCCCGACCAAGGACTAGAACTAGAACCCGGTGTGCCGGTGCCACTAGGTGGAGGATTAGCCTATTGAGCCGCGGCACCAGCCGTAATTATTTCTAATATTCCATTTTGGTGGGAGACTTGACTTTGCAATTATAATCTTTTTAAATTTCAGAACATTTGTTTTATGATGTAGCACTATATCTTTCCTGGAGAATTTTTTATAGGAAAATTGTTGGAAAAATACATATTCTGCTACTGTTAATGGAGTGTTCTATGAATATCTGTTATATTTAGTTGGTTTACAGTATTTTTGTATCTTCTATTGTTGATCTTCTGTCTAGATTTTCTATCCATTAGTGCAAGGGGTTATTCAAATATCCACCTACTATTGTTGAATTGTTTAGTTCTATTTCTGTTGATCTTTGCTGCAAGTATTTTCATATTCTATAATTAAGTGTATATATGGGCTGGTGCCGCGGCTCACTAGGCTAATCCTCAGCCTGCGGCGCCAGCACCCCAGGTTCTAGTCCCGGTTGGGGCGACAGATTCTGTCCCGGTTGCCCCTCTTCCAGTCCAGCTCTCTTCTGTGGCCCGGGAGTGCAGTGGAGGATGGCCCAAGTGCTTGGGCCCTGCACTCGCATGGGAGACCAGGAGAAGCACCTGGCCCCTGGCTTCAGATCAGAGTGTGAAACAGGGAACTGGGAATTTAATCCATGTTTCCCATGTAGGTGACAGAAAGCCAATCATTTGAACCATAATTCCTGCTTTCCGGGATCCACATTAGCAGGAAGCTGGAATCAGGAGCTGGAGCCAGCTACTGAACCCAGCTACTGAATCCAGTGTAGGAATGCAGATATCCTAACCAGTGGCGTAACCACTAAGCCAAAAGCCTGTCCCTAATTTTATTTTTCCCTCCCTCCTTCCTTCCTCCTTCCCTCCTTCTTTCCTTCTTTCCTTCCAAGATTTGTTCATTTATTTGAAAGGCAAGATTTATACACGGAGAGAGAAAGAGAGAGAGAGAGAGAGGGAGAGGCCTTCCATCTACTGGTTCACTCCCCAGATGGCCAGAGCTGGGCTGGTCTGGAGCCAGGATCTAGGTCTCCCACGTGGGTCCAGGGGCCCAAGCACTTGAACCATATTCTGCTACCTTCTCAGGTGCATTAGCAAGGAGGTGGATCAGAAGTGGAACAGCCAGGACTCCAACCAGCACCCATATGGCATGTTGGCATCAGAGAGGGAGGCTTAACCTTCTTCATCACAACTCCAACCGCCTAATATTATTTCTATATTATTGGATTTACATCTGCCATTTTGCTTTCTGTTTTCTATATGCCTCATGATTTCTTGTTCCTCTGGTCCTCTTTTACCACCTTCTTTTGCATTAAGTAAATATTTCTAATATAATATTTTATTTACCTTAATTAATTTTCACTTTTAAAAGTTATTTCCTTAGAGGTTGTTCTATGATTTACCTTGTACATCTTAACCCACAATTGGCTTAAGTTATACTGACTTACTGCCACTGAAATATAAAATCATTTTTCATATATAGTTCCATTTGCTTTTCCCTGTTTTTGTGGCATTACTATTATACATGTTATATTAACAGTGTCATAAACCCAGAAATACATTATTACTATTACTTTATATAATTCTAAGAGTTTTAAAGAGAGTCTTCAAATATTCTTTCTTTTGAAAGAAGAGAGTGTCTTTAAAAGTTAATTCTCTTTAGAGAAGAAAGGAAAACAATTATATGTGAAAGGTTATGTTACATTAACACTGTTTATCATTTCTGACTTTCTTCATTTGTTCCAATGGATTTGGGTTAGCAACTGGGGTCATTTCTCTAACCCAATGCACTTTATCCTTACCCACCTCATTTATGTCTTTATTGGCAAATATATTACATTTTCATATGTTATATGCCCAGGAAAACACTGTATACATATTGTTTTATTCAGTTGCTTTATAATCTTTTAAAAGAAAAGAAGATGTAAAATTTTTTATTTAAATTATCTTTTCAACTTATGTAATTACCTTTACTTGTGCTGTTTTTTCCATGTGGGTTCGAATTACCATCTGGGGTTACCTGCATTCAGACTGAGGAAGTGCTTACTAGTATTTCTTGTCAGGCAAGGCTGCTGGCAACAAATTCTTTCAGTTTATTTTCTCAAGAATATCTTTATTTCAAAGTGAGTTTGGAACAACAGCTTTTCTGGATAAAATATTCTTCATGGACAATTTTCATTTTTCTTTGAGCACTTTGACTATGTTATATTACTGCCTTCTATCCTCCCTTGTTTCTGAGGAAAACTTAGCTTTTTTTTTTACTTTTATTTAATGAATATAAATTTCCAAAGTACAGAATATTGATTACAATGGCTTCCCCCCAATAACGTCCTTCCAACCTGCAACCCTCCCCTTATCCACTCCCTCTCCCCTTCCATTCACATCAAGATTCATTTTCGATTCTCTTTATATACAGAAGATCAGTTTAGCATGTATTAAGTAAAGATTTCAACAGTTTGCTCCCACACAGAAACATAAAGTGAAAAATACTGTTTGAGTACTAGTTATAGCATTAAATCTCAATGTACAGCACACTAAGGACAAAGATCCTACATGAGGAGTAAGTGCACAGTGACTCCTGTTGTTGACTTAACAAATTGAAAACAGCTTTTAATCTCATTGGTATTCCCTTATGAGTGATGAGTCTATCCTTTTGTGTGGTTTTTAGAATCTTGTGTTTATGGATTTCCTTGTTATTCTACTCAGAACTGAGCTTCCTAGATGTACATATTAATATTTTTCAGTATATTTGGGAAAGTTTGAGGTCAATATTTCTTCAAATATTTTTCTCTGACCCTGTAAAACCAACTGGCTCTCCAGGATGACTGTGTATACCTAAGGATGCACGCCAGAAGGAACAATCTCATATTAACATTACTTATGCCTGATAATAATTAGTATTGCAGGGTGGAATGGACTTCACAGAAATTATCCAATATTTACAAGCTACAGATAAACAAACAAATATTCAAGCAAATAACAATAAAAAAGCCCTGGGGTGACATAGGATTAGTATAATGTCCAGTTTAAATATATAATTTCCAACAAAAAGTATGAGGAGTGCATGTTACCAGGAAAGTATGATCCATAAATTGGAAGAAAAATAAAGCAGATGACAGAATCTGCTTATGAGAGTAGATAAATTATAGATTTAAAATGATTCTTGTGACTCCAGATGAAATAAAAGTAATTGAAGAGAAAGTTAATATGAATAGGCCATGTGTCCAAAACTCAGCCTAAATTTTGGAAAGATCTTCGATGAGTCAAACCATCATGCTTCCCTTTCTTTGTTGTGGCCAGGATATCCATTACCAAAGCTTGATGTGAACTTCCCATTGGAGCAGAGAGAAGAACCATGGATTAAGGAACTACAGGATTCCAAAGAAATGAAGCAATTACTTGATTCCAAGATAGGTAAGTAATTGTTCATTGATTTACTATGGAAGGAAGAAAAGTAGAATTCAACCTCAATCGGGTAAAGTTTGGAATTTTGTTTAGAAACTTCTATATTCCTTTTTAGTGGTTTAATAAAACTCTTCATTTTCCTTTTCTCCATGGAGTAAATGATATCTGCAATTTCTGTTTCTCTCCCAGGTTTTGAGATTGGGTTAGAAAATGAAGAAGATACTTCAAAACAGAAAAAACTGGAGAATATGTATCCATTTATTGTAACTTTAGAGGGGAATGCCCTCCATGGTCCCATTGTGCAAAAAGAATATGCACAGTTAGAAAATCACTGGGAACCCCCTCCAGAGGACTTACAGCCAGATTTAACAAAACTTGTAGATCATCAGACCCCCACTCTAGGAGAGACAGCTGAGAGCTCCAACTTAGAAGAACCTCTCAACCCTAAACCCCACAAGAAAAAGAATCCAGGAGAGAAACCTCATCGATGCCCACAGTGTGGAAAATGCTTTGCTCGGAAGTCACAACTTACTGGGCATCAGAGAATTCATTCAGGAGAGGAACCTCACAAATGCCCTGAATGTGGGAAAAGATTCCTCCGTAGTTCAGACCTTTATCGACACCAACGACTTCATACGGGGGAGAGGCCCTATGAGTGCACCGTGTGTAAAAAGCGATTCACTCGGAGGTCACACCTTATTGGGCACCAGAGAACCCATTCTGAAGAAGAAACATATAAATGCCTTGAGTGTGGGAAAAGTTTCTGTCATGGATCAAGTCTTAAAAGACATCTGAAAACCCATACAGGTGAAAAACCTCATAGATGTCCTAATTGTGGGAAAAGTTTTAGTCGATTGACAGCACTTACTTTGCATCAGAGAACACACACTGAAGAGAGACCTTTCAAATGTAATTATTGTGGGAAAAGCTTTAGACAGAGACCAAGCCTGGTTATTCATTTAAGAATCCATACTGGGGAGAAGCCTTACAAGTGTAGCCATTGTTCAAAAAGCTTCAGACAGAGAGCAGGCCTTATTATGCACCAAGTCACTCACTTTAGAGGACTTCTTTAAGAATTGTTAAGGGAAACAGATCCTACAGAAGTTGACACTAACTCAAAAGCATCTTAACCTATAGCAGCCTATTTGTCTTGGAAGAACCTCTTTGGGCTTATAACAAATTTTTGTTTGTTATTTTTAAAAACCCATCTTCCAAGGCATATGAGTTCTTATATTTGATTTATGCTGTCTCCAGAACTCTTTTTTTAATTACAGTGAAAAACCTTGTGTTCAAAACAACCATAAATGATGACAATCCTTAGATACCATTGTTATCTGACACCTTTATTACAGCAGTACCATAATTATCTTACTGCATCTTATTAAAGATAATTATATTAGATCAGATCTTTAATTGTCCCCCAGGTGACAGTAAAGGAGACAGTGAATTTTGTAAAAACAGTAAAAGTGTGTCAGGAACACAAGGATGAAGGATGTATGTAATTTGTCTGGTAGGATCTGAATTACTTCCATTGAAACTTTTTTTATGTTTAAGAAAATTAAGATTTTTAACCTTTATTTTTCAGTTTTATAAAATTTTCTAGTCTGTTTGGAACAGTATTGATTTGGTAATTGATTTTGTTCACAGAATAAGTAAGATCTCTTTGTGGAAGAATATATTTGACAATTTAAGTTGTACAAGTACAATCTAATTTCATTTAGATTCCCTGAAGAATCAGCATGCACTGCTTTTCACTCGTCTTTTGTTATTCAGTGCTTTTTCATTTTTACTCATTCTTTAAGTCCCTGTCTCCCTAAGTATGCATCATAGAACATAGTTCTGTGAGATAATTTTACAAATAATGTTAGGAATCGCTGCCTGCTGTTTCCTCTACCTAGATCCATAGTGTACATCACCATTTGAGAATATCTGTGAGGTCCTCTAGTAAAGGGGGGAAATGCATCTCTTTTGACTCATTGTTTCCAAAATCCACTTGGCCCCAGAACTTTTTTCATATGCATCCAATAATAGTCCACAGAACTAGTATTTTTCGGATATCCCTTGGAACACACTGCCTTAAGCAAATATTTCTATAACTCTCAATATATTCCTGTTAATTCCCAAGCCTAGTTATCTCCAGGTGTTTCAAGGGTATTATGAAACATTTTTTAACCATGTATGTCTTTTGTGTAATACACCCACATGCAAACACACACACATATACACATACACACACATACATGCATACACATCATTTTAAGGAGGCAAGGGTCACTAATTTAGAAAGTTTCTCAGTGATCCCACCCTCTTTGAATTTTCTTATAATCATACATACACTGCTACTTATATAAATGTTCTCATATAATCACGCTAACAACTAAAGTTCCAATAGTGAAGGAAGAACTCTCATTGTCAGTTAAGACTGTTAATACCTGAAAATATTCATTGAGCCTAGTTCCTTATTATAAAATACAAGAATTGGATATTCAAGCATTTCCCCTTTATGAAGGTATCTGGTCATCTAATCCTTAAATTAGAATTAAAGAATTAGAGTATATCTACTCTAATCCTTTGCAGTTCTCGGGAATGAGATATAAGTATTTGGGAGGGTATATACCATGTACCTAATTAGTCCTGTTCTAGACTTAATGGTAAAGAAAATAAGTCATGAGTCAGGCTCATAAAGAGTTTATATCTTTAGTTAAACAAGAGTTGGGAAACAAATGGAGAATAATGCAAGAGAGTTTATAATCAAGTGCCAAATCATATCAAAGTGCTAGAGCCAGGATGTGTCTTTAATTCTTGACATCCAGGTCCCTGTATGATGCTGCTATAATTCTGGGGTTAAAATGGAGATCCCAGTAGCAATAAACATGTAACATGGGAGGAGTCTGAATGTAGAGATGAAAAATATTGAATGTAATGGCTTCTCTTTTCTCTCTTGTGGACTTGCATTCAACCAGAACAGTGCCTTAGAATGGATGTGCCCAACTGCTCTGTATTTATGCAATATTTTAATAAAATGAAAATGTATATGCTCTTCTTGCTTCACTTACATTGATTAATTGTTTGAGCAGCTTAGAGCTACAAGCACCACATTTGGCTTCTTTTTTTAAAAAAAGATTTATTATCTGAAAGAGTGAGAGAGAGAGAGAGAGATCTTCCATCAACTGGTTCACTCCCCAGATGGCCGCAAAAACAAGAACTGAGCCAGGACGAAGCCAGGAGCTTCATCCAGGTCTCCCATGTGGATGGCAGGGGCCCAAACACTTAGGGCATCTTTCTACTGCATTTCCAAGACCATTAGTAGGGAGTTGGATAAGAAGTGGGAGCATCTAGACACAAACTGATGCCCATGTGTGATGCTGGTGTCACAGGCAGCAGCTTTAACCACTAAACCCACAACACCGACCCCCCCCCCACAGTACTGTGATTATGCATCATTTTTAGCATTTAATACAGTCAAATTTTAGCAGTGAGGTTAATTAGAATCATAATGTGAGCTGCATCTTCCTCATCTATATCATAAACACACTGTCTAGATGTTTGCAGGGTAGAAAATATCTGGTATTCATCTGTGTATATATGATGAGCATTTGATGAATATTTGTGGCATTGAATCAAGAAACAGGTTAATATAGTAAATACCTCCTAACTATTATAAAAAATAAAAAAACAGTATCTACCTCATAAGTCTACAAAGATTAAACTAAGTATATTATGTTAAGGCCCTACATAATGTAAGCTTTCAATCAATAGTCAACGTATTTTGTTTTCATTATTTAATGATAAAAGTAAGGCTACATATTTTCTTCTAAGTATGGCTTTCATCACATTCCATAATTTTAATATATAATATTCTTATTGGGAGTTTCAATATTGTTTGTTAATATAGTTTTCATTATAATTCTTCTTTGAGCTATCTGCAGTACAATGTTGTCATTTTCCTTTTCCTTTTTGGTATTGCTACATTGTGATTAGAAAATAGGTTTCACTCAATTTCTGCTTTGAAAGCTCATTTAGGACTTTTTAAGACTTGTATTTGATAGAATTTGGTAAATATCCTAAAAGCTCTACAAAATAAGAGTTCCATTTTAGTGCACATATTTAGTCTTGGACCTCTCAATTACATTAATATCTTACTGGTGTTTGCAAAAGGGCAGTGGCAGGTTGGGTGGGTTGCTTCCTGGTCTGCCTTCCCTACACATTTGTACTCCCATTTCCCTTAGCAAGGATATTTTGTTTTTGTTGTTGAGGTCCTCTATAGATATCATATAGCAATTGTTAATAGTTGCTTAGGTATTGAGACTGGCAGTAAAAAACAGGATGCTAAAAGACCTCAGAGGGTCCTGGCCTCTCCAAACCAGGCTGGGATCCAGGATCACCCTCAAGATACCATCCTCATCTGTCCTCCTGAAAGTGGACAGAACCTGCAGCAGTCCCACTAAGGATTTCGCAACTACGGACATTCTGAATCTGCAGGGATTGCTTCCAAGTGTACCCTGGGTGTTTTTTTCCAGGCTACACTGCAGGACAGTGGGGAAAATACAGGGACATCAACCCCCCCAGCGGCTCACCAGCAGGTGGAGGAAGAGAGGCTTCCCACTTTGCTGCATCTTGCACCTGCAATCCCCATAGCATTCTGAAGAGAAAGGGGGCTCAGCCCCTCCAGGAAACAGCATGAGCTTCATTCCTGCTACCCTCTATCCTTCCTAGCCTAGAGATACGGGCTGAATATGCTCATATGTAACCAAAGCTCACTATTGGGCCCTGAACCGAACACCTGTTTCTCCTTCTTGTCTAGTCCTGTGGAACTGATTGATTGAAAAGAGAGTTCATCTCTTAGCCTTTCCTTAGACATTAGTCATCAATTTGCTCAGGCCCCAATTCTAGGACTTTAATAACAGGGATTGGAGGTGGTAGCTTCCATGCTTCCTGAAGGATATATAGGTTAGCCTCTATCCAGTCTTCTAGCTGGCATTATCAGACAAGGGTTCTCAAGGACCTAAGTTCATATTTTTTTTAAAGATCCTAAGCATATTAAAATATTATAAAACATTATTTCAAATATTTATATTTATCAACATCTTTATCACTTAATACAAGAGTATGGATGTAGTAGCACTTACTGGAGATGACTTCAAAACTCTAAGGTTTCAGGGCTTTCCTGAAGATCAGACCATGTTGGACCTGGAAGAGGCTTGTTTACCCCATGATGAAATATATCTGAAATAGTTTTTTAGCCATCTCTTCCTAGCTACATTCCCTTCCTATGAATGTAGGGAAGTAGAAGGTGAACAGTGAAAAACCAGATGTCCCTCATTTTTGCCTAGAGTGGAGAGAGGGAAACTGTTACACTGCTTCCTGGGAAGGTTTGGAATCCCTCCCTCTTCCTAAGATGCTGTAATGGTCAGAGCTGGACTGCTCCAAAGCCAGGAGCCAGGAGCTTCTTCTGGATCTCCCAGGTGGGTATAGGGGCCCAAGCACTTGGACCATCTGCTGTTGCTTTCCCAGATACATTAGCAGGGAGCTGGATCAGAAGTGGTGCAGCTCAGACTCTAACCATCACCCATATGGGATGCCTGTGTCACAGGCATTGGCTTTACCCACTACACCATAACACTGGCCCCAATAATTCTTAAGAGACCAATCATGTGTCATCTCTGCAATGTAACCTTTTTCCTGCCCTCATTGCAGTGAATCTATAATGGCTTGCACCTTTAATCATTAGCAAATAACTTGGAGAGACTCTCCATAGGAGAGACTCTCTTGCAATACATGGTAGAATTGAATTTTTGTTCTATCTTTACCAAAATTTGTGCCCTCCCCTGTGTACACAATCTGGTCTTGGTAAAGCTACATTAAACCAAGAGCTTGTTTATGCATTTAATTTTAGGAGTCTTTAAATAGGTGAATGGGAGTTTAGTGGCATGAGGGAGTTAATGTCCTCTAAGGGGAAATCCGACTCCAAAACTTGGATACTGTATTTTTCAAGACAGAGCACATTGAGAAGGAGCTCTGAATAGGACATAAAGATGAGTAATATACAGTAACCATCTTGGTTTGAATTTTTCCCTGTCATTGAAGGTGTTGCAGACAAAGCAGTGAGATTTAGCCAACTTCCACAGTTCTTTAGCAACTAGAACAGTTGAAGGATAAGAATTGTAGCTGCATTTAGAGTTGTGGTTTGATTTCTCTGTTTCAGACTTTTGAGCTCTCTAGAAGAGTCCAGTCCTGGTCAATTGTTCTAGAAGTAGGACCAGGGGCTTTGGTAAGACTGAGAGAAATGGCACTTTTGAAAGGGAGTATTGAGAAGTGAGCTGTTTAAGGGAATAAAAAAATGTTTACAGCTCTTAATCTCTCTCTAAGAATTATAGCTGTATCCCATAAGTTTTGGTATAATTTGTTTTCATTTTCGTTAATCTGAATATTTTCTATTTCTTCTTCTGTTTTATTATTTGTAGCAACAGTTAAGAGAATATTGTGGCCGGCGCCACAGCTCAATAGGTTAATCCTCCACCTAGCGGCGCTGGCACACCGGGTTCTAGTCCCGGTCGGGGCGCCAGATTCTGTCCCGGTTGCCCCTCTTCCAGGCCAGCTCTCTGCTGTGGCCCGGGAGGGCAGTGGAGGATGGCCCAAGTGCTTGGGCCCTGCACCCCATGGGAGACCAGGAGAAGCGCCTGGCTCCTGCCTTCAGATCAGCGTGGTGCGCTGGCCGCAGCCTGCCAGCCGTGGCGGCCATTGGAGGGTGAACCAACGGCAAAGGAAGACCTTTCTCTCTGTCTCTCTCTCTCACTGTCGAATCTGCCTGTCAAAAAAAAAAAAAGAGGATATTGTTTGATTTCCATACAGTTGTGCATTTTCTGAATTTCTTTCTTCTATTCCCATCCCATTTCACTCCTTTGTAGCTGGAGAACATACTTTAAATGATTTCATTTATGTAAATTTATTAAAGCTTTTTTATGGCCTAACATATGACCTATTCTGGAAAATGTTTCATATGCACTTGGGAGGAATCTTTTTTCTTACTGTTGTTGGGGGAATATGTTGTTCAGATTTTCTATTTCTTTGTTGGTAATCTGCCTAGTTCTATTCATAATTGAGGGAGAGATACTTAAGTATCAAACTATTATTTTTTTCTATTTTATTTATATTTTTGATTATCATGTAATAGTTGTACACTTTTATGGGGTACAATGCAATACATCAGTATGCATTCACAGTATAAGACAATCAAGCCAGGTGACCAGCCTTTCTGTCTTCTTATCTTTTCCTCATGCTTGTAGCCTAATACCCCCTCTCCTCCAGTATTTTATACATAACAGAATGTTATTATGAAATATAGTTATCCCATACCCCATGCTGTGAAACATTAGAAATTGTTCACTTTTGTCTGATGGTGTTTTGGTACCTGTTATCCAATCTTTCTTCCAACTCTTTTTATTGAGTTCTTCACTTTTCACTTGAATTCTGTGTTTTGTCTCATGTATTTTAGGGCTATATTATCAGTTGCAAATATATTTTCTTGGTTCTAGCTTTATTTCTCCTTTATAAGAAATGAAGGTGGGGCCTGTGGTGTGCCATAGCAGATAAAGCCTCTGTCTGTGGCACTGGCATTCCTCATGGCTGCTGGTTTGAGTCCCAGGTGCTCCACTTTCTATATAGCTCCCTGCTAATGGTCTGGGAAAGCAGCAGAGGATCCTTGGGTCCCTGCCATCCACGTGGGAGACCCAGAAGAAGCTCCTGGCTCCTGGCTTTGGCCTGGTACAGCCCCAGCCATTGCGGCCATCTGGGAACCAGAGGATAGAAGGCCCCTCTCTGTCTCTCCCTCTCTCTCTGTAGTTCTGACTTTCAAATAAATAAATAAGCCTTTAAAGAAAAGAAATGAAGGCACTCTGTTTTCTCAAGGTTTTGTGGTCTACTTTCCCATTGCTCATCTAGACAAAGTCTTTCTGATGTTGCATCGGTCTTGAAAACATTACCTCTATCTATTTCTGTGTAACAAACCACTCCAAATTTTAGCAGTGTAAAAAGTAGCTG